GCCTGAAACTCTCAGACTGAAGAAGTCTCTTGGAGGAGAGACGAAACGTTTCATTAGAGAAGAACCCGTCCAGAGGACCTATACTATTTTTTCTTTTTTCTTTTTTACCTGGATTACTGAGATGCATCAGGACATACCAGCATATACCTGCATATAACAGCACAGAGAGATGAAGAAAGGTCTGTACCTCCAGATCCGGGTGCTGATCCACCAGGATCAGGTCTGACAGCCAATCAGAGACCTCCTTCTCTGGCTCCTGGAAGAACAGAAACAGGAAATGATCTCCAGTCTGGCTCCACCGGGTGGATGTGATGAAGAACAGCAGCAGATCCTGCTGATTCGCTCCAGCAGTAATGGACCTTCAGTGGTTCCATGTGGGGGAAGACCCTGATGTCCTCCAGGCTGAAGGTGAGCCAGGCAGAGGACGGCTGTCTCAGGATCAGTCTCACCGTCACCACGTGGTCCGGCTTCTCCTGCATCTGCAGCAGGACACAGAGATGTGAGGGGTTTGGAACAGAGACGCTCTGAATCTGTCTGAGGAGCAGTGAAGAGGCAGGAAGTGCAGAAGATCCTGTTTCAACAGTTCAGGTTGATGAAAGACCTGAGGCTGAGCTGGGACTGAAGCTCTGAGGCCAGAAAGACAATTACTCACTGACAGAGAGCAGCTTCATGAAAACAAAGATAACTAGAGGAACTGCATTTCCTGCAAAAATGTCAGTGTGAATGCTTCATGCTGAAAACTTTAGCTGAAAGCTGCTGAAATTCAGCTGAAAATTGTTAAAGTAAGCTCTCTTTAAAAAACTGAAAGAAGCTAAGAAAAGCGTGACTTTGCGGAAAAACAGTAAAAAGGGATTGAAATCCAGTTGAAAACAACAGAAAACAGCTAAAAGCTAAGCGCTAAAATAGCTGAATATAACTGAAAACATCTGTAAGAAGCATAAGAAGCATAAGTGGCACAAATCAGCAGAAAAAAGGCTAAATAAGTTGAAAAAAGCAAAAGAATATCAAGAAGCAGATCTACAGCTAAAATAGAATAAAATAGCTAAAATAGCATAAAATAAACTAAAGGTAGCAGCCACAATTAGAAATTAGCACCCAGATAGTGAAAGTGTTGTAAAAAACTGTAAAACTAGCAGAAAAAAATATAAAATTACATATAACTGACAATATGTATTAAAATAGCTAAAACAGCTGAAATTTTCAGTAAAACAGCTAAAAAGTAGCTGGAATTGTTTTAATTAGCATAAGGAGGCACAGGTTTGCTGAAAAAATATTTTAATAGCTAAAAAATGTGTACTTAGCTTTAAAAAGCTAAGTTTAGCTAATAGTAGATAAACATTAACTAAAATTTCAGCAAATAGCTGAATATAGCAGAAAGCATCTGTACGAAGCTAAAACAGCACAAAGTAGCAGAAAAAAGCACAAAAACATAGAAAAAAAGAACAGCAGAAAGAAAAAGAGTTTTAGCTGAAATAGCAGAAAATTATTTTTTTCAATTCAAAATTTTATTCATTTCATTTAAAAAATAATATATACTAT